TAGCACGATGATGATGATATCTGGGGTTTAACATCCCAAAACCACCATATAATTATGAGAGACGCCGTAGTGGAGCGCTCCGGAAATTTGACCACCTGGGGTTCTTTAACGTGCACCCAAATCTGAGAACACGGGCCTCCAACATTTCCGCCTCCATCGGAAATTCAGCCGCCGCAACCGGGATTCGAATTCGCGACCTGTGGGTCAGCAGACGAGTACCTTAGCCACTAGACCACCGCGGCGGGGCGAATTAGCACGATTCCTTCGAACTGTTGTTTTGTGATCTACGCCGCCACTCGTAGTCGCCACTCGTAGGCAGCGCGCCGTAGAACGATGTCACTTGTTCAGTAAAAATTTCAGTGCACTAGGCCCTTAGATTGAAAGTTTACAGGTCTATTGCATCAAAAAAAAAAAGTGGTGTGTTTCATCGAGCATCGTACACTGTTTCTCGCAAGCGTAATTGGTGTGGTAAATATTATACCGTTATTATGTAGGAAATTATATATCGGTCAGAATGGCCTTAACGGGAGGCTCCGGCAATACTGCAATACATTGAAAAACACAACCACTTCGCATTCGTCTTCCCGATGTCGCACCAGTGGTTGTAAACCTCTGTTCCATAACACGCATGCAACCTTCAGACACACGGGTCAACGATCACGTGAAATCATTGAAGCATTCCACATCAAGAAAAACCATGATAGTTACATCTCCTCCCCATTCATCTTTCTACATGACTGTGCAATCCGTTTGCTTGACAAAGCGTCGCAGTTACGCACAGCTTGGAGGATGCGCACGCAATGATAGTGATTGTATTTATTCTCCTCTTTTGTAATGAAGGGCGGAGTTGCTAGTTCAGTGCTTGTCCTATGTCCTCCTTTTTTTGTTTGCCGTTTTTTGCGCTGCGGTCTTACGTCATGAAGCTTAAGTAACTAGCCCAGTTAAGTATGCTGGTTAGTACCATTTGCAAATTTCCAGGAAAGCGCTGCAAAAACTGTTCTCGCAACAAGTTTTGTCAGATGTGGTGGTGTTGCCGCTCATGAGTTGAAGCACATGACGAAGCCGGTGGTTACCTAATTTCACCGTGGAGAGCAACTGTTGTATACGGGGACGCTATGTTGCTGTTCGCTGCACCAGAGCTGCCTTGAGAGTGCTGCATAGGATGAGGTGACGGGGGGCCCGGAAAGCAGGTCAGATAATTCTTCGGCAGCAGCTGTTGACAGTGCCAAAACAACGAAAGCCATTTGCCTGGTTCCGTGCGCACACCACAAAGCGTGAATTGTGACTCGGCCTGGATTAAACATATCGAAGGGGTGCCGTCTCAGTAAGGTGGTTGTCGAAGGAATACCGAAGAGACGTCATGGCTGGTCGTGTCAGTAGCTTCCGTGTTTCGGTGCGTCTCGTTGCTCTGCTTGACTCTAGACACCTCGGCAGTGCTGCGAAGGACTACGAATCACCACTTTGCCGAGCCAGGTTGTACGATACGGACACGTCTTTTCAGTAAAACGCAAACCACACGTACGCTGGCTGAGCGTGACCAAAAGTGCGTGAGCGCGCGTACCCCGGGCGCGACTCGCGAGGAATGATTTCTATCTGCACACTATGCGCGCAGGCGTGCGCCAGTGCGCGCTCATCCTATAGGCAGGCGGAAATTGGCGGGTGGCGCCACGCACTGAGCTGTTTGTGAGCTTCGAAGAGATTTATATGAACTTGAACACTCTCTGTTTGTCCACGTGGTGCCGGACAGAGCAATACTGCACCATTTAGCCGGGCCAGACAAACATGAGTGTGTACACGAGTGCACTGCACATTGCTGCTAAGCGCAGGACGTGTAGTGCACCGCCGGCAGGTACGCCAAATTCGCCGCGATTAAAGCTATTCGGAACTACAAAGCATGGCCAGACGATCAAGAGAGCACAGTAGAGTGCAGGGTGTGCATCGCTACGTTGTGCACGACGCGTCGTGCTAGACAGAGCTAAGCGGTCTGATGCAGTGATGTATTGTGGCGAAACATGTATGAATAGAGCTTGTAATTTAATACATATGGCTGAGAATGTACTTGACCCGTACGTAAGGATGTAAAATATCCACGAAAAGTAAACAAAAGGTCATCTAAATTCCTGCCTATAGACACGCCGGCTAGGGCGATGTCTGAGTACAGCCACTGTGTCGTTTCGTATCTGCGGGGCTCCAAGCGTGGCCAGCGCCGCTAGACGCGCGCCATTTGAAGGCCAAAACCTCACCACCACAGACACTCGTGTACGCAGAGCGTTTAGGCATAGAGTAACAAAAAATTACAAGAGTGGTCACTCGGGCCGAAAGCGGCGGAGCTACGCAGCTTCACGCCAGCCAAAAGTTGGCAACACATCAACCACTGCTTCAAGAAAACACACGTACTAGTTGTTTACTACAGTACCTTTTAAAGTTCACTCTAGGTGTACACGTTTTTGCCACTGTGATAGTGGCAATGGCTTGAATTCGTCTTTATCGTCGGCGATTGTACGATGCGATATCGTCGGGATGGCATCAGGCATGAATCGGATGCCAGAGAAGTGCACATGGCATTGACGCGAAAGCAAAGTTGTCACGCTGGTTGTTCGTGAGCATTTAGGGCAATCAAGAAGTACGGAAGCAGCAGGGAGACGCCATAAAAGATGTGCGAGGACGTGTCTGGCATGCGTTGTGTTATTCGTTTGTTTCGTCTGCCTCTCAGCTAGGCGGCTGCAAGGTACGACCGGTATCAGTGCGTATTCCATTTGTCATTTAAGCCTTAACCTAACATTTCTGGCATTGTGCTGCTTGGCGCAGAGATCTTTTTTGTGCTCTTCACTTCGTGTATACTGTTTTCTCGGATTGCTTCACACGAAAAAAAAACTGTTTGGAATGCTTCGCAGTACGTTTGCTACGAAATTCTTTCTTGACTCAAGAAATTAGATCACCGCTCGCGTTCTTAGGTTTTCTTTGTGCCGCTACATGTACTCAAATTCACTGCATGGGTGATATTTTGCTAAAAGTGCAGCTACGCTCAGTATTGTTATCTGTGCCGTTCGCAAATTGCCTGATGCTCTAACGAGTGCAATAAGAGAGAAGTGGTGAATCTAGCAAAATCTTTGCTAGCTGAAGCTAGGGCGTAATCTTTGAGTAAGCACTCCTGCCTCATTAACGGCTTGCATGGCACCAGACATTGCTTTGTTGTTGCTGCGGCAACTGCTTGTGACTCTTTTTCGCCAAAGAGTGATGTAAAGTGTGTAAGGGAAATATTGTGCGAAGGTGAAATATAAAACGTTGCCAAAATTTTTGTTCTTTTTACACTTTGTGCATTGCATGTGTAGTTGTGTGCATTTTTTCAATTTTTGCTCTTCTGCGGGTCTTCTTATATTATTGCCTATATATTTGTTTTTTGTGTGTTCTTATAAACACGATATGGCAGCTGTATTTTAGCGTTTCGCAGTGCAATGAACTTCACTTTGTGCCTGTGTTTGTCAAATATTAACAAAATGGGCAGGGGCTTACCAAGATTATCACTTGAAAATAAACGTTTTCACTCCTCCAATGCTTCTCATGTTGTTATTAAAATGTGTGCATAGACATACATCGGCATCATGTGCTCGGTGTTGTAGAGGTACAGCTTACACGAAGCTCATCAATGCATGCAAAGGACGCGTTCAAAAATTAAAGTAAGGCCTCAGAGACGAGCACGCACATAGAAGTGGTCTAGGAGGCTGTTAAATATTCCTAGTCACTACAAAATGGCCTTCAAAACATTCTTTTCTGCGGTCTTCCACTCGCTCGCTAGATTCCGTGCCGACCGGTTGTGCCCTCGCGATCTCTGACGTCAGCGTAGCTCTGGCTGACTGGGCTGGCCCTACGTCATCTCCTGACGCCGATATCCGACGACAGCATAGATCTGACCTACTGGATTTGCCCTACGCCATCTCCTGATGCCGACAAGAGCTCTCGCAAGTGGTGCCCCGACCTCGGACTCCTGTGACCGTGTTTCCATCTTTCCTATCTCTCCCATCCCTCGATATGACCTCGCTCGCTGTCCCAGCGCATCTTTCTCTCCCTCTATACCTTTATTCCTATCTTTTAATCTCTCCTTACCCCCATCCCTTGTGAGCTACTGTTGAGGTGTCGCACCCTGATGCAGACGGTTACGAGGCTCACTTTTCTTTTCTCTTTTATAAACATGAACACTTCCCCATCTCAGGGGCTGCGAAGGTTCTCAATGACCGTTTGGAGCACTGCGAACATCAACCAGCCGTAGTTTATTCCTTCCTTCATGCGCAGAGACCTATGAGAGTGTTCTCTTTTAAGTTAGCTTTGGTTCTCTGGGTTTTAGGCGCGTTTATGACGTCTGCGCATGCGGCGCCCTGGAGCGCGGACCCGCGCGCGCTCGGTCAGCGAACGCAGAGTTTACGATGGGTTTGGGCTAACAACGTCTACTTTATTGTGTCAACCAGAGATTCGAAAGTGGAGCAAGCGCACGCAGTCCACCGGAACTGGCAAAAGTGAAACAGACTTAGGAGGAACAGAGAGGAGAACAGGACGTCGCTCAGAATGCTTTTAAAATAAGAGAGGAAAGACAGCTCGCCCGAGACGCCCCGCACGGCTTTTATGACAGCTGGGCTGCGAGGTGGCGACCGCGTCGCTTCAAGGGCGAGGACGTAAGCGCTGATACGAGCGCGCTGTCTTGACAGGCATTTCAACACTTTTCGTTCGGGCGACAGCGAGCACCAAAGCGTTTTGTTTTCTAGAGCGACTATATTCACTTACACTAGCGTCTTCTAGCGACTTACAGAAGATTGCATGTGACAGTGTTCGCAGCTGCGGCCTTGCAAAATAATATTTGCCATATGAATGGCAAAATTGTGGAAATATAGCGGCATTACCAATCGCAGTGACTGACATTTTTAGATCAGTCGGAAAGGAAATATCCCTTAGAGCTACATATCACATTTGTGAATCTCAGATAAATTACAATATATTTCCCGTTTCAGGTTGCAAGTGGAGAATGACCTAACGTTCCTCGGCTTCCTTATCATGCAAAACATGTTGAAGCCAGATGCCACACCCGTGATCGGCACGCTCCATGGCGCTCAGATCAGATGTGTGATGGTCACAGGTAATACATCATTTGATTTCCGGCGAGCCATTTCTATTAGTTTTATAAGTATATGCATTGAATTTCAGACAACCAGTGTACATAGTGCCATAGGGGTCGGCGCTAGGATAAAGAAACCGTACCAGAGCACATATCTTCTGTATACATACGTACAGAAGTGGTTTTAATGAGCAAAAGAAAAGTTTATGTAGACAATAAAATCGAATCAAGAGTTTATTTTCAGACATAAAACCATTTGACACAAAAATATTTATAGATCTTTATTGGCACAAAATGAATAACAAGGAACCAATTATACGCAGCAATGGGCGCAAAAATTATAAATAAATAAATGAATAAAGCTAGAGGCATATCCTTATATGCAAATCACACAAGATGGGAAGATGAATCGAAAAAGGATTGAAAGTATGAGTTTTGTGTATCTATTTATTTTTTTAAGAGACAAATGGAGAAACTTTTTCACCTAATATCATAATGATGGGGTGCCTTATAAGGCAGTGGGGAAGTTGGTAAGCTAGTTTTTGAGAACCATAGTTTGTACGAAGCATTGCATTCTTGAAGATGATCGGTCGTAACGTATGGCTGTGGTCCCACTCGTGAAATTTCTTCTAAAAATGCAGTTTAGTTAGATTTATTTTCACAACATTTATTTAAATTTATTTATCTATTCACAGTATAGTGCAGTCACAAAAGACCATGGAGGAATAAATGTATAGAGTTGCAAGTTAGCAAGCACAGGCGCAGCCGTCAGGCACCCCAAGCTCACAGAAGAGAAAGCGAAGCAAAGCTATCGGTATATCTAGAGATATTTCGAAAACAAACAAAACAAAAACACCACAACCAAAGTAGACAACAAATTATAACAGTTCAGTGTGGAGCATATAGGATTACAAAAAAAAAAACACATCCTGACCCTCTCGCTCTAAATACTCCCACACTAAAGGTGAACACACCTGGTAATTGTAGAGAAAAAGCAACAAAACTCTCCCCGAAGTAAGTCGGGTGTGTAAATACAGTATTTGCAATATGTGAAGTAACACTGCAAAAAAAGTCGCTTAAAAGCACGAAATACAAAATAATAAGTGAAGAGAAAAATAAAAGGTCGCATGAACACTAATTAGTTTACTGCGTTTCTATGAGTATGTAGTGCACTTTCAAATTTACTTGCAGGCTCTAGAATAACTGAATAAACTCTATTTGAAGTCCGACATTTTCGTCCGGGTGAAGATGGGGTAAAGTAGAATAACCCCTGTCCCTTCCCACCCTCCGTCGATTATGATGGCGGTGCCTCAGGTGACCACTCGGAGTCCTTGGACCCGGGCGGCATCTTCGGCTTGCCAAATGGCCTACAGCTGCTCGGCCAGCTCATCGATGGTGCGTGCCGCAGGCTGCGCTGCCTATCCGCAACAGTGGCCGCAGCCGCGGCGGAGGCCAGCCCCTGCCTTCGCGCGCTCATAGCAGCAGCAATCGGTGACCGATGAAATGGGCAATCGCAGGGAACTTTGGGATACCACGGCTTCCGGTTCGACGCACCACATGGGTCAGCAGCGGCACGCGCCGCATTTCGTACTGCTCCGTTGAAAAAAGCACCTCGCCGTGCAATGTCAGTGCTTTAGAAGTTTTTTTTTTTTTTCAGCCGTGACTGTTACGATGACAAGCTAGGAAAGTCATGAACAGCCCGCAAACTTTCTCGTCGCACTAAAACGATGTGAAATGCTTTTATGCTGCTCGGGGGTGCTGTCAGTTCGGCTAGCAAATCAGTCGATACGCAAAACAGTTTTCCATTTATGATACGGTACTTCAGATAAAAAGTCACCATTTTAAAGATCTCAAAGTATGGGGATGAGTGTAGCAGTGCGCTAAGAGTTCATTTCGGGATCGCTGCTATGGCTGAACTCGTCAGCCGATCGGTATGAAGAGCAGCACTTATTGAGCGCGTAGAGATATTTTTTTTAGCCTTCAGCGCGATCTAGGATGCATTTCTTAGTCGAAGCCAGATGCTTATTTGAACGCTGATCTTAGTCAAGCTGCACGGCACGGCAGCACATCAACAATACAGTCAAACATACACGGCTCCGAATAAAAGAAACCATGCGCTTGTTTATCACACTTCTTGCTTTGGGTGCCATCCTGGCGCACAGTTTGACCGAAATAAACGCAAATGGACTCGTCCAGCACTTCGTGTAATCGTACTTTTGAGTGAAGCGTTCCGCGTTTTTTTTTTTTTGCCATGTATATGAATGCAATGGCCGGCGCTCTTGTCGTATGGGCAGGTAGATTTCACCCGCGCCTTCCCATAATATTTTTGGTAGGCGCACCTGAGCGACAATTTATTTCTCAATATAATATTCGAATACGATTATTCGAATCCCTAATAATCTGGAGGTTTCGGCGAAGCGTTCGCCGTCGTCTACTCTTCTCGAACCGGAAGCCGGAAGCAGACGGTGCATGCCATAATTACTCGCTCTTTTGCTGGTCACCTATTGACCGCTGGAGTTTGTGCCTGCCTAACATGCGTCGCAAAGGAAGTGGCAGCAGTGACTTTTCTGGCACACTCCTAAAGCATGTCCCGCAGTGTGGCCCTTTCCCAGTGCGCTTTACACGTGTTTGTCGGGTATAGGTGAGAATAACACAGGCGTAGGATCACCGGGCTGGGGTACGTATTTATCCGTAATAACCTCAGAGTTACGGCCTGTCTATTGTTCAATTTGTTGGAAGGTGGTGGGTATTTGCGCCTGTTTAGTCTGTAATGTTGTGTAATGTCATTGATCTGATCACCCCACGACCATTCTGGTTGTTGCTGTTGCGTTGATAATGTCATTGCCCCGCTCTCGGAGATTAGAAACATTGTTGTTAGGCAGTGAATTCCTATCTGAAACGGTTCGTGGAAAAAAAAAGAGTACTTGAAAAGATTAGTGCGTGTGTGATAAGAAAGTAGATTATGTTCGTGTCAAATTTTCGACGTGCGCGACGAAAAGGGATGAATATATGCACGCGCATTCACGTCATAAGTGCTGTGATAAACCGAAAATTAAAACTTAGGTCTTGATATTTTCCTACACTGCTCCAAGGTTATAATCTTATTTGCAAGCTTTAGAGATGACAGCAAATGTGTTCGATTATATTTCTAAAATATAAAGCCTACTGCCTGCCTCTGCACCATCGCAAGCCTATGCTCGGGATGGTGCAGGTTCCTTTTTTAAGTGGGAATCCCAAACTGCGCTTGTGTTTTCAACTTTCGGCAAAACATACGTTCTGTAAGTGAGAAGCTTGGCATCGGGAGGCGCGTTTTTCAGTTTGTACCTAAGTAAGCCAAGTTTTCAAGTAGCTGCTGCACAGATTTTTCCGATGTGGGACGATAATGCAAGTGTGTTGGTGATTGTCAATACCAAATATTTGTACTCCGTGGCTTCTTCGATGGTGTCATTACTAATTTCATAAGTAAGAAAGGTTTTCTTTTATTACTTACGCGTAGAAGCACACAGTTCTCTCTGAGTTCGGCGACATCGGTTATGCTGTGCACCATTCGTGAATATTCGCTAGGCTGGTGTTCAACTACTGTTTGGTCATTTTGAGAAGTTATTTTTATGAAAATCAAACAGCCTAATATGAACATCAGGGAACACAGCTACGGTAATATCGTTCACATACATAGGAGAAAGAATTGGTCCCAATACGCTTCCCTCAGGTACACCAAACGTGACTGGCAAGTGTGTGGATGAGCACCCATTGACATAAAAAACTGAGTACGGTTAGCCGAGTACTGCTTCATTGAAATTATAATAAAAGATGGTAGACCTATTTGACCAAATTAGTGAAGTTTGTATAGGAGTTTACAGTGAGATACGCGGTCAAAACCTCTGCTGAAATCCAAAAAGATTAAATCACTCTGACCGGCCAAGTTGAGTGTTAAAACGACGGGATAAATGAAAGTAGCAAGCTGTCTGATTTTTCAAAGGTTTTTACTAAAGCCATGTTGGTAAACGATAGAAGTTTATTTTGTTGCAGAATTTGGTAATAAACTGTACGAGCAGGTCTTCAAGTATTCTGCAGCAGGATGACGTCATATATATTGGGTGGTAGTTTTCCTTTTTAAGCGGTCTCCTTCTTTGTGAACTGCCACTACCCGGGGGACGTGCCAAACATCTTGAATGATAGCTAGCTTTGAGCAAGAAGATAAATTGCAAGGAGATTGTAAGACATCTGTTCGGCATACCAGCGAAAAAAAAATAAAATATTGGGAATATTGTTTGGGCCTGCCTGAAGATCTTTCTTTCTTTAAGGGTTCAGTAAAAGAGAAAGACACCCTTAACAGATATGAAGTTCTCATCTAAATCTGATGGCCCAAATGACCGGACGCCGCTTTCGTATGGAGAGAATACGGAACTAAAATATTGATTCAACACTGTCAGCTATGCCACTGTCTTCAGTTATTGACACATCTGTTTCTTTTATATTGTCCATTTGTTTAGATTTTCAGCAGTGAAAGTGCTGGCACTTTTGATAACTATAATAATTTCACAATTTCGCAATTATTTTCAGAATATCTGTGTTTTCCGCAAGAGATCACACTGTGATTTTTTCTAAGCTGACGCAGGAATTCATTATTGGCGACTTTTTTTTTCTTTGATAGCTCAATCTTGTGCTTAAAATGAATCAGGTTTCTGTATACTCATAATAAAAGAAAAGCGGCGCACAAAAAGACGGAGACAAAGAAGAGAACCACACACAGCGCTGCACTCACAACTGAAAGTTCAACCCGAGCAACAAGAATTTAAAAAGTAATAGCCGCGCATGACAAGTGAGGTACAACGAGATTAAATGATACGCTCATCAATAAAAGTGAACTCCTTTTGTGCAATGTAACCGAGGTCTGGCTTACGCAAGCATCACGTGACTTGTTAATATGATAGGCTTAAGACACCTCACGGGTGAATTGATCGTGGTGCTTTAAAATAATAATAGTGTTAGACAGATCAGGTGTGCACCCACACGTGGCA